TTTATTATATCAACATATAAATAATCATTTAATAATTCTTCGTCTATATCAAAAAATATATTACTGATTTTAATGTTTGTGTTGTTTTTCATATCATTAGAATTATTTAAATTATTTAAATTTATTAAAAAAATTTTATAAATGCATTTATTTTTTTCAATATTTCTATGTAACATTTTCTTTTTTGAATTTTCTAACTCATTTAATAAAATTTTATAATCTTCTCTCTTTCTCATTTTTCTTTTATCTATATATATTTTTACGTATGTCTTTTTTTTACATAAACTCTCAATATAATTTTTTTCATTATGATACATTATTTTGTCTTCATCTTTTAAAAAGTTGTAATTTTCCTTTATTGTTTTCTTGTTTTCTTTATAAAATATTAATTTTTCATCGATTGATTCATTATAACTTGATTCTTCTGTATTTAATTCATTCTCGTAAGAATAATTTTTTTTATATTCATTTTCATATAATTCATCACTACTTAATTCATCAATATTAAATGTATATGTATTATATTTACTTTTTTCAGATTCAATATTACTAGACTCATTAATACTAGATTCACTCATACTGAATTCATTTTCATTTAATTCTTCTTCATGTGATACATCTGTGTGTATATCTATTGCTTTCATATTTTCTCCTACTAAACCTTCTTCATTCTCATATATTTCATTTTTTTTATTATATTCAACTTGATTAAAATTTATGGTTTCTGTGTGTGTCATTGATATATGTGACAACATATTTTTTGAAAAATAATTTTTGTTTATTTTTAGCTTTTCATTTTGGTCAGGAATATTAAAATTATTATTATCATCTAATAAACATAATTCCTTAAAAATATTTTGTTTTGATATATTATTAAAAGATAAAATATATTCATAAATAATTGAAAATAATTTCTTCCTATTTTTATTTTTATGTATTGGTTGTAATATTATTATTAAATTTTTTTTTGAATGAATATTTTTGCAAAAAAATTTTATTAATAGAGAAAAATTTTTTCTATCTTTTATCTTAAAATTTTCGTTACTTAACATTTTAAAATAATTATTTTCATTATTCAGTAGAACCTTCTCTTTTCTTATAGCGAAATTATGTTTTTTTTTTTTTTTTTTTTCTTCTATATATTCATTAGTAAGAATATTATTATAAGGATCATTATTCATAATGTTTTTATAATAATTTGTCTTTTTTTTTTTTAATTTGCATTTTATAAGTATGTTACAATTGAATGGATTAAATAAATCTATGTTAAAATGATATAAGCAACATGAATTATTTATAACTATCTTTTCTTTTATTTTTCTCTTAACAATATAAGATCCTTTTATTAAATATATAAAATCACCAAACAAATTATTTCTTACTATAAAATAACATTCTTGTGATGTTTTTAATGATGGTTGGTATTTAATAATTATCTTATTTTTACTTTTATCTTCAATAATACTATAATTAATCTTATTACTTAAATAAATGCATTTATTTTCTGAATTAGTTATTATTTCGTTATCTATATTTGATGGATATTTATTATCATTATTATCTTCAAAATTACATAATTTGCTTATAATATCATTATTATTATTATCATCATGATTATATGTAAAGTTATTTTTACTTAAATCCTTTTTTATATCCCTATTTGCACTTTCAACTATTTTATAATAGAAATTATCTGAATATGTAGAATTATTTGTATTTAACTGATTAACAAATCTTTTATTGTCATAATTAAAATCGAAATCAATATTTATTAAGCACGATTTAGAAAAGCAAGTTGAAAAATTACATATTGCTAATATATTTCTTAATTTTGCTAATAATATTAAAATGTAATAATTTATTCCCTCATTTTCATTATATATAAAAAAGAATCCAATGTTTTGATTACTATAATTAACATCTATATTTATATATTTTTTACAATAATTAATTAATTCTTCAAATATTTGTTTCTCATTCTGTTTAAAATAATTTTTAGATTTCTGTGTTAAAAATTCACTTTTATTTATATTCTCATCATATATATAATTCTTGTCATTCATATTTTTTACTGTATCAATATTTTTTTCATGTTTTTTTTGTAAATTTTCAAAACGTTTCATTTCTTCTTTTAAATCATTATTTTTATCATTTATTAATTCTTCTTCAATAGATGGATAATAAAAATTATAAAGTTCTTTTGCAATATTTGTATTCATATCTTGATTTGTCGTACTTTTTTTTTCTTTAAGGATATAATTCACATCATTAAATGTGTTATTTTCATTTTTTATTTCATTAAATGAAACTACTGAAGAATCTTTAGGGGAATCATTTTCATTAATATTTGATGATATATTTACAATATCATCGGTTGAAAATAAATTTGAATTGTTTGATGGATTTATATTTTCAAAATAATTTGGTATCTTTGGCTTGTAATTAATGCTATAAACATATATTTCGTTTTTTTGTATTTCAATTTGTCTTTTTTCTATATATTCATTCATATAAGTTAATAAAAAGTATTCCTCTTTTTTATTCCCATTATTTTTTAATACAATTTCTTTGTTTATCTTGTCCCCAATAAATGTTTCAAGGAATAAAATTTTTAATGGTTCACTTAATTCAATATTTATTATAATTTTATACCAAAAAAAATAATCAAAATAAAAATTATTTTGCTTACTTTTATCAATAAATTTATAAAATTTAAAAATAAGACAACCAACAAATTCTCCTATATGTACATTTTCAATAAAAAAATTATAAACTTTTTTTTGCTTTGGTAGCATTTCAATGGTTTTATCACCAAACAAAATAGATAAATCAGAATAAATTTTAAATTCACAATGAAAATCTAATTCGTTATAAATTTCAATTTGCACATTTTTTTTCATCCTATTTAATAAATTTACTTTTAGTATTTCTTTAGGAAAAGGCTTAGAAATGTTTGCTTCTATTTTAATTTTTATTTGATCTTCTTCATTTTTTATATTAGTTAAAATTAAAAAACAACTGCAAATTACTGATATAACGGAATAACACGTCACTTCAAAATGAAAAGTTTCTACATCTTTACTAATCTCAATATGATCCTCGCTATTAAAAATTTTATAATCTATTTTATTATTATTTTGATCTACTATTTCAGAATATTCACATTTATAAATAATATTAGAATTAGTGTAATTATATAATGGTGCATTTTTCTTTGATAAAAAAAATGCTCTTGTATTAAAAGTAATTGTTATTAATTTACTTCTATTATTAACATTTGCTATAATTTTATATAACTTATAGTAATTATCATCCATGTTATTACCTTTCTCTTTAAAATAAACATCTTTAATTTCTTTATAATTTAATGAGTTGGAAAAGTTATTTTTTTTTTTTAAAAGAATACAGTTATATTCAAATACACCATTAATCTCTTCTTTTATATTCAGAGTGCAATAACAATTGATATCGTCTTTAATTAAATTATATAAATTGTCTATATTTAATTTGTGAATTTCTTTCATATATTTATTAGGGTTAAAATTGTCAAATAATATAGAACTTTCCTTTATTGTCATTTTATCACTATCACATATAATATAAAATTTATTTTTGTATCTGTTTAAATCTTCTAAATAACTTTTTAAATATGTGTGAAATAATTTCTCATCCTTTTTTTTTAAATTACATAATATGAATTTTATACATTTCAGAAATTCTTTATTAACAGGACATAATTTTAAATCATAAAAAAAGCTAGTTAGTTCAGGATTCATTTTAATTGTTTCTTCTTCTTTTATATTATTTATATAAAATAAAAAATTCAATTTGCAAGTTGAAATAAGGAATTTTGTCTTTCTATCTTTAACGTAAAATAATAAAAAGCAAAAATAATAGCCACTTACAAAAGGAGAGAAATATAATTGTAATTTTTTTTTTTCATTTTCTTTACTGAAGTAGGAGAAATTATCTATATAAAAGCAGCTAAAATATTTTTCTTCTTGATTCAAATTATTTATTATATTTTTATTAATTAAAGAGCAAACATCACATTGATTATATAAATCATTATTTTTTTCATTTATAATATTTATATCTATTTCGAATGTTTCTTTTTTTTTTTTTTCTTTTTTTAAATCTTTTAAATATAAGTGATATATATTTGAATTAATTTCTACTTTTCTATTAGTATCATTCAATAAATTGATTTCTAAATTTTTATTTTCATAAACTTTACCTCTGAAATTAAAATATTTTATTTCACTATTATTTAACATTATATTTAATTGAGAAGAATTAGACCATATTTTACTTATTTCATTGCTGTTTTTTGAGTCATTTATATCATTTAAATTATTGCAATAATAAGTTTTTTCTTTTAAATTATTTTCATTCATATATAATTGTTCCTTTTCTATGAAATCCTTTTCAATCAATTTGATACAAATATATTTTTCATCATTTTTTTCATCAGGTAAGTAATTACTAATAAAAAAAAAAAAAATAAAATAAAATAATGTATATATTTTTCTTAATTTAAAATAAATAAATATGAAATATTCATTTAAATAAAAACAATAGACATAAACATTTTATTAAATAAAGTTAAATATAAAAAAAATTTTTAAATATACAAAATAAATGTGTATCATTATAATATATATATTGAGGTAAAAAAAAAAAAAAATCCTTACTCTTCTTCACGTAGAATTAGTACAGTGTAATTTTCAGTTTTACTAAAATAATTTTCGTCATTACTACTTTCATCAATTTCTTCGTTTTCACTTTCATTTTCTCCTTCATTTTTATCTTCATTCTCATCCTTAGAACTTTCATAATTACTAGAAGAAAGTGTTGTGAAAGAACTGTACTCATCAAAATTAGTCTTATAATCATGATTTTCTTCTTTTTTTCTATTTTTAGATGTTGAAATGTTTATTTTTGTGTTATAATTACAATTAAATATATTTTTATTATAATTTTCATTTATTTTTAATTTAATTTCTTCTGATTTCAGTGAATCAATAATGATATAATTTTTATCAATTTGATATTTGTTACACCCAACTAGGAATATATTATATTTACATTTATAATTATTTAAATTATATATTGTTATTATTCTTTCATTTTCTTTTACTTCACTATTAAGTACCTTTTTTTCATTTACATTATCATTACGAATACTTTTTCTTTTTTTTTTATTTCTTAGAATTTCTTCATTTATAAAATTTACATCATTTCTATATGAAGAAAAATCATCTATAATTAAATAGAATTTAGGTATATAATTAGGTAATATAAAATATATAGAAGCTAAAAATAAAAAAATATGTATATAATTAAATTTAATTAATATTTTTCTATTTATTAAATTATTTAATTTAATTTCATTAAGAATTAATAATAATATGTCTATATTATAAATATAATCTTTTTTAGATTTACAATTTTTTTTTATTTTATTTTTAAAAAATAAATAGTAAGGAATATGAGAAATTATTGTATAAATAATTATTACTAAATCTTTCAAATCATATATACTTGTTATTTTTCTTTTTTTTTTTATGTATTTTTTTTTTTTTTTTTTTTGTATATAAAAATTATGTTTATCTAATTTGTGATATGTATCACCATTATTATTTTCATTAATTACATCTCCCTTATATATATACTTGAAATCCCTCATTTTTATATATTTAATATTATTATAATGAAAATATAACCATTCAAATAATATATATTCAAAATTTTTAGAATTGTTAAACTTTTTTTGTTCTTTTGTTATTTCATTCTGAAATAAGAATTCTTTTATCTTTTCTTTTTCTGTCTCATTTTTATGATGTTTTAAGCTTTTCCCCTCCACTACTACTTTATTATTTTTAAAATTTTTAATATTTTCCTCCTTTAACAATTTGTCATTTTTATTTTCGTTATATACCTTATAATAGCTCAAATTATTAATTTGATTTAAAATATTTTTTAAATCGATGAAATTATTTTTATGAAAATCAAAGTAATTTAGCACACAACCATTTTCATCATTATTTATTTTTTTTTTATATTTATCATTTACACTATTTCTTGATAAAATTTTTTTATATTTATTTGTTTTAATTCTTTCATTATCTACCTTTTCATTGTTGATATTTTTCGAATATAGTTTAATTAATTTTGTATTTTTTCTTTCTTTTGTTTTTGTTTTTTCTTTAAGTAAACAAGTATGCTTGTTGGTCTCTTTATTATTATTATTTAAAACAATTAAATAATTTATTTTATGAATTTTTATGTTTTCATTTACTATGTTCTCTATGTTGCATAATTTAATTCCTCTCAATTTATTTAAAGAAGTTATGTTGATAGAATTAAATACTTTTTTATCTAATATTTCTAAAAATATAGTCAACCAAGAGTAGGAATATAATTTTAAATGTGTTCTGAAAATTTTATCAAAATAAAATATTTTTTTCTTATCTTTTTCATTCCCACATTTTAAAAAATCTTCTATTTCATCAATTTTTAGATATTCTTTTTTTTCTTTTTTTTCTTCATTATTATTATTTTTTATATAAAAATAATCTGGTATTTTATCTAAAATATGAAAAAAATATAAATCAACTGGTAGTAGATTTTCGTATACTATATGATCAATTAATAAACCCTCCTATTTAATAAAAAAAAAAAAAAATAATAAAAAATAAAATAATAAAAAATAAAATAATTAAAAATTAATAAATTTCATATATAAAAAAATAATGAAAGAAAGTTTTGTTTTTTTTTTCTTTTCCAAAAGATATGAAATAGAAAAGTAAAAAATGTCTTTTACAATTATATAATAAAAAATATACTCAAAAAAAACTAATAAAATAAAATGGTAATAACTAATAAAAAAAGAAAAAATGAAAGAAATAATTATTACCTCTTTTAAATTTTTTATAACACTTTTGATATTTTTTAAAAAAGTTTCATGAATACACTGAATTTTGTCTAAGTCGTTCATAGAAATATTTTGATAATATTTTAGTTCATTAAGTATATTTTGTATATTTCTATTTTGATTTAATAAAAAAATATCAGACATTAAATTAATAAAAAATATAAATAAATCATTTGTATTTTCTACTACATTTGGAAAATAATTTTTTTTTAATAAAATTTTTTGAAGAAACAGAAAAATATAATCGTTAATTATTTCGTTTAAATCAATTATATTTTTTTCTTCATTATAATAAACATTCGTTATATTATTAATTTTTAATTCTTTATATATACAAAAATTAGAATTCTCATAAGTGTTATTTATATTATTGCAATAAAAAGATAGTACAGAATTATTTTCATTTTTAAAGCTATAAGATAACAAATTATTTTCGTAATAAGTATAATCATCCTTATCATTGCAAATATTCTTATTATCAACTATAGAAGAAGAAATAGTTTTTTTTTTTATATTTGTTTCATCATTATTATTTTGGTAATCAGATAAATTATTTGATGATGATTCATTTTCTTCTAATTTTTTATGATTCAATTTATTTGACTTTGATAAAAAATGAATTTCATTTAAATTTGAATCATTTTTATCTTCTATTTTATCAAGAAAATAATCAATACTTTCATCGATATTTATAAATATTGGTATGGTATACTTATCATGATTTAAGACACTTATTGAAACATATGATTTGAATTTCAAATTTTGATTTGATTTACATTTTAAACAAACATTTATCTTTTTTATTTTCTCATTAATTTCTTTTCCTTCTAAAAAATCTAATGTTAAAGAGAAATTTTCAGCATATAAATTATCAAAATGATAATCTATTCTAACATAATTATAACCATAATTATATATATGAAAAGGAAAAATAAAATATTCGTTTAATTTATTGTGAATTATATTTATATAAGTAACATCAAAATATAATTTAGGACATATACAATTTAAAAGCATATAAACACAATAGTTTATTTTTTTTTCATTTTTTTTAATAATTTTTTCATTTGTTTCATTATTAATATCATTATTTACATAAACGATAGAAATACCCAAAATTTCCACATATCTTCCTTCATTAAAAACCTTTTTTAACCTTATCTCTATTTCTTCTTCTTTATTTGATTCTAATAATCCATATTCCTTACTTATATCTATTTCATACAATTGTTCTTTTATTTCCTTATTTTTATCTACTTTTTTTTCATCTTTTATAATCGGTAATATTTTGTCATTTATATCATCATCATTAATATTATTCCCCAAAAAATATTTTTCTTTTTGTTTTTCGCTATATATATATAATTTCCATTCAATATTTTTATCAGAAACATTTTTAATTTTTAGTGTTTTTGTTTTTTCTTTTTTAAAATAACTTATAAAATATTTATCAGTATTTGATGGTAATATATCTCTGAAATATAGATAAGAAGGAGATACATTTAAATATCTATTTTTTATTTCTACTTTGATTTTTTCATTAATTTTTTCATATAATACTTTATTATGTAATAAATTATTAAAAGTTATTTCTTTATATAAAACTTTATTGTAATAACTTTGTATACATAAAGAAATAAAACATTTTGATGGAATATTTATTTTATAAAAATTTGAAACTAACTTTTCGTTTTCTGAAAAATGAATATCAAATTTATATTTATTATTAGAAATAAAGTTGTATAGTTTTATAAAATTGTTATAAAAAAACTTTATGCATTCATCTGTTAAAAGATCTTCGCATTCTAAAATAGAAATTTTGCTGAAAATTATGTTCTCATTTTTCTCATAAGCATTTTTATATTCCTTATTATTGTATGTTAAAAAATTTTTTTTTTTTTTTTTATTAATTTTTAAATTTAAAAAATTTAGTTCATTTAAATTTAAAAAAATTGTTTCCTCACATAAACCTTTATTTAAAATATTTATTTCGTAATTTTTTAATTCGCAACTCTCCTGTTCAATATGTATGTTATCGCTAATTAAGATATTTGATGAGGTGCACTATAAAATATTATAGAAAAAATTAAAAAAAAAAAAAAAAAAAAATATATATTATAATGCATTATATCAATAAAGGATATATTAATATTTGTATTTTTTTTTTGTTCTAAATTTTATTCTACATTATAATTTTTATATAATACCAAAAGAATTTTTCATAATATATATATATATATATATATTTTTTTTTTTTACCTTTGAATTTACAGGTATAATTAATTTTTCGGAACCTCTAATAAAGAAAATAATTTTATCTTTAATTTTTTTATTTTCTTTTAATTTTAATAAAACTGTAATTTTAATTTTCTCGTTTTTATTTACATAGTTATATTTAGAAAATACATTTATACAATTTGGTTTATATATACATTTAAATAGAAGTGTTGAATCACCTTTTAAAAAAAAGAACATTAAAAAGAGGTCAGTAATAAAAAATTTATAAATTATATTACCTATAATTTGTAATTGCCTCAATATTTACTATATATGTTATATTAACTATAATACTAATAAACATAATTCTTGTATGTATAATTTATAATTTACAAAAAGAATTATTTTTTTTAATATATTGTATATTCATTACTTGTATTTATTAAATAAAAATCTTTTGTGTAACTTCTATTTAAAAGAATATTTTCAAAGTCTATCTGAGATAAATTAACTTTATAATCACATTTATTTATAAAACATTTACATTTTATACTAAAAAAAAAAAAAAGATAAATAAAATAAATTTACATTTTAAAGTTTAAAAAATAAAAAAAGAAAAGGAATATAAAAATATGTATAACCTTTTATATAATCTATTGTCATCCAAGTATATTTGAATGAATTCTTCTATGATATTTGTATTTTCACAGGCGAAAAATTTAACAGGAATTATTTTATATTCATTAGGGGATATCTAAAAAAATTGTTACACATATATATATATATATTTCTTATTTCTTATTTCTTATTTCTTATTTCTTTTTTTTTTTTTTTTTTTTTTTTTTT